TTGACGCCTGCTTTTTCCAATTTTTTTTTTTTTTTTGGGGGGGGGGTTGTACGTTTTTGTCCCCGGCTCTGACCCTCGCTGTGTTTTGTCATTGTAAATCATTTGGATATGTGACCATTAAAGAGCAACAGTCTGCGCCCTGGCAAACGTCCCTGACCACCCCAAATAGGACTTTGCACTTTGCGCGCAGTCTGTCAGTCCTCATTCTCCCCCTCCAATAGCTTTTTGCATTTGCTCCCCCCCCCCAAAAAAAATATATGAAATAATAACAACAAATTATTTTGACAAGCCAGGTTTCAGAGACTGACTTTATTTCACTCCCTTGCTTGTTCTTCGTGACTTTTGACAGCAGATTGACCGGCGACCAGTCCGGGGTGCGCCGACCATACGCATTCGTGAGGATCTCAGCGAGGTGGGTGGGGGGGGTTCATTGTGGGATTTTTGCCCGAGATTTATTCTTTCATTTTTTTTTCAATCGCATTACTTCCTCTTTTGTCAACTCTTTTATTATTTTTTTAGAATATTTTTGGGGGTGTCCACTCCCTTTGTCGAGTCATTGTTTTAGCCCGGGTCTCTTTGTTTTGTTTTGTTGTTTTTTTTTTTTTTCTCAAATGGCAGATTCTCAGAGAAAACGGCGCACAGCCCGTCAAATGTGGAAGCCCCCGCAGCTAACATGACCTTCTTTTGAATCAATCTGTGTCGTGTCCAGACGTTCACCATGGATTTGGGGATTGTGGTCCAAACCAAATGCCGGGGCTCTTTGAAGCGGTTTATGTGTTAAACGTGCTCACTTGTCACTTTGTCTCCTTTCTCAAGTCGTCCAGTGTGGTGGACAAAGAAGCGTCTGTGCTCTCTGCCCGTGGAAATGAATGGAAATCTCATTCGTGTTCAGACACCACGGGAAGCAACAACACTTGTTTTGCAAAGTCTTTTTAGGAAGGAAAAAAATAGCACTCTACAATATTATACTCTATTTTAAAAAAACAATCAATGAATTGAATGTGAACAATGCAGAAAATTCACCTTTTTTTCCATCATGATTTTCGTTTTAAATGGCCCTTGACATTGTGTCCCTTTGCGGTGTGGCCACTAGGGGGCAGTACAGCGCAAACTACTGCAAAAAGAAGACTTTCACCTCGAACTGACTCGGTGTACAGCTGTCGTCTTTTTTTTTTTTTCACGGAGGATAAAGAATATGTATGCGTGTGAGTCGTCTTCCATTGTCCGTCT